GATGATGTTTGCTTCCTGACCACAGAGAAGAAACCGAGGAAGTTTTATTTTCACATTAAACATGTATGAAGGCGATTGTTGTTGTTGAAGAGACGCTAACAAAAAAAGAATAATGTTGGAAGTAAACACTGAATATTTAAAGAACTCCTATTTTGATTGTGCTAAAATATCCTCGGTGGCAAAGAGCTGAGCTCCTAATTGTACTTGATGTTATCTCCTATTCCCTTTTTATTCTGCTTGTCTAAAAAGGATTCCCAAATCAGTCAAATCAAGAATTCATCTTTCATCCTTTAGTTTTTCTTATAAACGTCACTCAGAAACTGAATCAGAGCATTTTGCTGCGGATCTTTAAGAATCCGAGCAGGTTTAAGCATCTCTCCTCTGGCCTGTAGCGTCAGTTATTGATGGCTCACAGCACCAAAATACACCAACGTCCCTTTACAGCTCCTTCAAACAAATCCACACTCTGTGCTGTGAGCAGCTTGATACGGGAACTATTTTCTTTCTATAGAAATACATCCGCTGACCATTACTGTACAAAAAATATGCACAACAAAAGGCTCGTCCTTGAGACGGCTCAACAGGATGTAAATATTAGAGGTATCCCCGTGTTGTGGGCCGTAATGACAGTCAGCCACATGCTTGGATGTAGTTCAGCAGGAGAAAAGAAGTTCTACATGAAACGGCTCGTGACAACGTCTGTGGATTTTTCCCAGAGTAACTGGTTTATGATTTCACGCGGAGTTTTTCGGATTGAATTTTCGCTGCAGTGAGCACTGCGAGGCAAAGGCCATCTAGGCCCATTATATTAAAGAGAAGGCACTCGTCTCTAAAGCTGCTTCACCGTGAAAACTTGCGCAGTAAAAGCACTGCAAGTCAAATGAAACAGATTTCCCTAAAAATAAACCTAAAAAGTGCAATTTTTGCACAAAATTTGCAACAAACTTACATCAGGAAGGTTTCGCTGTAAAGGCAGCAATTAGTTACATTAGTTACAGTACAACAGCACATCCGTCATACATTAGAGTCAATTTTAAAATCTATGAGGGGAATTGTGTCTGCTTCATTTTCACCTTTTCCATGAGCTGCTTTCAAAGAAGAGAAAGATTAAAAGTGTCTTCAGTCGACACTTTCATTGTTGCCACATTTTGAGTCTCTATTTAAGTAATTTAAAACTTACAGTCTGTGTCACGCTGCCCGTTTTAACTTCTCAGCAATTAAAACATTTCACGCCCTCACTGACGGCTCGTTTTAAAACAGTTGTAACTGCGAGGGTCACACAAGCATCCTTTTAAAGACACCTCTAACTGTCTGGTGAGCCACATGAAAGCGAAAAACAGGTGCAAGCCAAGGTGCCGTTATCAGAGCAGCACGACGCCGAACCGCAGCGAGGTGGAGACGGCACACGTGTAAGAGAAGCCATGAAGGCGTAAACAGACGTTTAAATATCGAGAGAGAGAAAACTGCAAACAAACTCAATTTAAGACCCCAGAAAGCAAAACTGACTGAAGATCTGCAGAGAAAGAACAAACCTTTTATTTTTATGACTGTTAAACAAAAACCTTGCATTTCACACGAGGTCATATTGTTAATCTGTGTATAACTAATATTGTATTATTGCAGCAGCGTGAAAAAACCTCAGGTCTTTCAGAAACTCATTTTATTGTGATATGTTGTTGAACATTAAAACGGACAAAAATACTCAAACTACTAAAAACAGTTTGCGCACATTAAGATGCTTGGATTTCTTTTTTAACTAATCCACTGAATTGAGAATGAAGTGATAAATCAGTGCAAAGATTTTTTTAATATATACACACACAAATATATTTTTCCCTCAAGCATCTGCTGGATTTCTGACAATTAGCAAAGCAGCAAGAGAGGCTGTGTCAGCGTCCAAGCACCAGTGAAACTGACAAAATCCAGGTTAAGTGAACTGCAAGCAATCAATGTTGCACTCCACATCAACCTTTATCGACTTTAGCATGTAATATATATATATTTCTGTATTTTTATCATCCTGTTTTTGATGTTATTGCTCAAAAAAATGAAATTTTCCCAGTTTAAGCTCGCTGCAGCGCTCCCATTTGTGGTACAATAAAAGGGGGGAAAAAACACATAAAACACCAGCAGACTTTTCATTACAACACTATCATATCGCACGTGAACAGAGATGGAGCCATTATAAAGACTGTAAGAGTGGAGCAGATTTGAGTGGGAAAAAGAGGACGTTTCCACTCCAGATGAGCCAGAACATGTAGAAATTTGGAATTAAATAAAAAGCAAGGTGCTTGAGAAAGATTTTGGCGTTCCACACTTTGATTTCATACTCACACGCAGCACCGAAGTGAAGATGTCTGCTGTTCAGAGACAGTTCAGTCAGGTCCAGCACTTTTCACTCAGGACTGAAGCACCCATTTTGGCCACAGAGTTCAGTAGTGTGAAGAGTCTCTTGAAAGTGGAAGCAGAGCTGAAGAGACGACCCTAAAAATCATCTGTGACATCAAAACTCATCCCACCAGTCAGAGGCGACGAGATCATTTTTACGAGTCTGTTTTTTCCTGTTACATCAGCGGATTATACGACATGACATCTGACTGGTAATGAGTCCTGCCTTCAGCAGCAGCCACACTGCCAGCCTGCACTCAGTCACAAACATCCCAGAAACCAGCAGCTGCTGCTACAGAAGTGCCTTCAAACATTTGATTAGCATCCCAGGAGCACTTCTCATCAGCAGCGTCAACACGAGTCTGCTGACACATTTCTTGGCATTTCACGTCGAATGATTACAGATCTACTCCTACACAGCAGCTACCACTCAAGAAAGCCGCACTCAAATCTCTAATGAAGTCTGATTACCTAGCAACATTGTTTTTAATGGCTTTGAAATTGTGAAGGTGGCAGCGGAACAAGATTTAGGACGTTAAAGAGCTTTTTATAGAGTCCAGCAATGGCCTGAATTTTCCTGAATGCAGTTCGCTCCCTGGACAGCTGTGCTCAAACATTGTGTTTTCCTGCTCTGATTGCGCCTCTCCAGGCAGTCAAAGCCATAATGAAATCCAAACTGAGACATTTCATTAGAGTTTTGCCTCCTCCTCCAAAAGCCTAAGCTCTGAGGCTGAGTGAGCTCCAGGTTCGTGGAGTAACTCCGTTACTGTCGGGTCACAAATGCTCAAACTTTGTAAAATCGGGATGTAAAAAATATCAAAGGAAATTCTTTTCTTGAATTAACAGCCGTGTTTGAGGCGAGAGAAAAGCGCCGCATGCTCGTGCAGAGCGGCTCAGCGGTCATTAGATGAAGTCGCAGCCTGTCTTCAAAGGCAAAAATCTTAATTTCCACTTTATGACTGAAGGAAAAGAAGCGTTTAAGGAGGGGAAAGTGTCAGCTTTAAAGTTCAAAGTGAGGCTTTTGATTTCATTTAATCATCCAGAATTTGGCTTCCCTGCCGTCAGCGACAGCCGCAGTGGAAGTCAGCGTTGGGGTCCATCAGGAGTTTCTTGCGGTCGACGTGCAGACAGTCTATGTGGTACCAGGCGTCGCACACGTCACACTGGATCCACTGCACCGTGTCCTGCTGGGGCAGCCGGCACCGCGGCGCCGCGCACGGCTCCACCGTGCCAACCATCACGTCGTCCTCTTCCTCGTCGTCTTCGTCCTCGTCCGAGGAGGAAGAGGAGGAGCCGGAGGAGGAGGAGGCCGAGGAGGTAGAGGATGAAGACGAGGAGGACGGAGAGGGCAGGGAAGGCCGTGGGGGGAGGGGGTGTTTCCTGGGGCGGCCGCGTCGCTTACTTCAAGGAAGGAAAACATAAACAGGAAGAAATGAGAAGGCTTGAAGGTGACATCACAAAAAAAAAGGAGGAACAAATACGTTTGTTTTTTTTACACTGTTGCCACTCCATGCCTCACAGAGGAGCTTCAGGCCTTGTTTAATATGAAGCTCCAACATTGTACAGTTTGTATATATGACAGAAAATCATACAGGGCAGATTTTTTTTAGAAAATCCTTCCAAACTCACCCTGTTGGATGATGAAATCGGTTGAACTGCACGCTAACTCTCTCGTCTGCGCGGATCCTCACCGACGGCGAGGCCAGGTTGTAGTTCTCCCCTCCCACCACCAACGGGGAGAATACGGGGGAGCTGTTAGCCCTCCGCCTCCCTCTCGCTGCGGTCGGGGAGCAATGGGCAGGCTTCTGCTGGCGGAAGGCCGCGATGTTTCCGTGCACCACCGTCTTGACTCTGTTCACCTTCTCCGCCTCTTGTTTGCTTGTGAAGGACGCCTGGAAGAGGTGCTCGTTGAGTCTGCTGTTTGTCATGGCTCCGTGGAAGCTGCCGATGGTCCGGATACCGACGGGGAAGGGCTTGGCCTCCAGCGGCCTGCGGATGTCGCTGTGAGTTTTGGGCTGCAGCTGAGGAGGAGGCGGCGAGCTGAAACCTTCAGATTCAGACTTGTAGAGCCTCCGCCTCTTCTTCCCCCGCGCTCTCTGTCCATCCTCCACAACTCCTGCCAAAACTAAGATCAACAGAAAGAGAGCAAGTCAATGTAAGTGGAGACAGAAGCTAACCACAACACTAATTTGTTCTTTTCCCTCCTTTTTTTTGCAAGTAAAATCCTTGAAAAGAAAGCAGTAACTTCATAAACTAATATTAAGTCTTTTTAAAAGCTGCCAAAAACAATTTCATGGTAAAAATCTGCAGCTTTATGTCAAAAAGCTCCAGAAAGTAAGCAGGGTCATTCTGCAGCACGCCGCTGTGCTTTACCTCCTCGACTTCTGGGCTCGTCAGAGCTGTCGTCCTCCAGCAGCACCGTGTGAGCCGACTTCCTCCTGCTCCTGGAGGTCTGCGGGAGGGCCTTCGTCTGAGGCAGTGAAGCTGCAGAGGTGAATGATGGAGGACTGGAGTGCGGGAGCAGAGAGGAAAAGCCCACGGCAAGAGGAGGTGAGGTCGAGGTGCCGGGGTCAGAGACGGTTCCCCCGTGGCTGTGGCTCCTCTTGAAGGTCCAGGCGCTGCCCTTCATCTTACTCAGGCTGCCGATGGAGTTGAGGATGACCGTGGCTCTGTTGATGGACAGCTTCGAAAGGTCCAGGTTGGCAGCTACCTTGCGGTCCAAGCTGGTCCTAATCCTGTTCTGCAAGTCGGACGAGAAGGTTCCCGCCTAGGAAACCAGATATAAATATTTCATTTAAACCTTCACGAAGCGTAGGCCAAATGTCAATATCCAGAGGTGCGAGTCTAATTTGTCTGGCTGATGCATTTCTTTCCAGAAAAGTCATGGCACCTTTGAGATAATAAATCTATTTCTGCCTCTTGCTGCAAATCAACCTCATGCATCAGCACTTTTTTAATTGAAGTAGAAAAGTACGATTGCACATGATTTAATCTTCAAATTTCATTTAGTGAGAGTATGCCTCCATGTCTTCATAGATAAAATGCTTTTGGGGATTTTCTGTGGGCTTGTTATTGTTTACCAGACATCGTGGTACATTTTTATTGGCATTCAGAATACAAATAGTGCCCAGCACCACCTAATGAACGACGCCTGCACACACTTTGACACAGGAGTGGGATGAAAATTACAGGGTAGAGTCGACATCAACATTTTCATTACTGTCAACATATTACAGGAAAAAAAAGAAGGTAGAAAAAGGCATGTTAGTCCTTTCATTAGTTTCTGTATCGACTCACCTGTCTGTGGCGCTCAGACCAAAGACAACAATTTAAAAACCACTGACATCTTTCATCTTTGTAAGAAGTCCCATCTTAAGCAGACGGTCACTGTAATTTCTAACAAATCCCTCAAACAGAAACACATAAAGTGCATTTGTTGAAAGACATTTGGTTTCCTAGTGAGTATTTAGAGCAGCAGGGCTGTGAGGGACCAAATCAAGAAGCTATAATAACAGTTTCTGACAAGCATCTAAAATTAATGTCCTTATCGCAACTGGGGAATATTCGTTTTCTTCCCCCCTATACAGCCGCTACATTAACGCTGCTCCTTTGGTAGCCTACATCATGGGTCACGTGATCTTTTGCCTTGGGGGACGTTAGCCTGCAAGCAAAGAAGGCTGCTGGTGCTACAGAATCTGACTCTTGCGTGCATTAAGAAAACGAGACTCAGATGGAACTTTCAGGAATATTTGTTGTATTTTTAGCATAAAGGAGAATCAGAGCAAGCACACAAGCTTACAGATCCATGGGCACCACAATTCTGAGGCCGTCATTCTACCGTTAATGTTACTGCAAACTATTCATTCAGAAATCCTCTAACATTTGCAGACATTAGCAAACATAGTACAGAGGCTGGAAAAAGACTTTGAGCCCACTACCCGAATCTATCCGCCCATTTTCTTAAAAGCTTTTCCAGTTCAGGGTTGCAGAGGAGCTGGAGCCCGTCTGTCACAGAGTATCAGGACAGCACACTCTGGACTGGCTGCCACACGACTATACACACCTACAGCTGATTTACAAGCACCAGTTAATCTAATGCAGGAGTGAATTGTTAACAGTGGCTCTGTAGGCTAGAGATTTACTCAACAGAACAATTTAACTTTTTAAGAAAGGTTTAAAATGACTGAAATAGACACAAAATATCTGTAAACTCACTGTTTAACCTCGTCTGTTGAACTTGGCTCGAGTTTTTAAATTTTCATACTTTTAGACTTGTCGATTAGTAAGTTTCTCCCTCCTGTATAATCAATGCAGACTGCTAAAAATAATATTGAGGAATGTCTGAACTGTGTAATGTTGACATATGGACATTAGCAGTGTCACATGGTGCATTTACTCATGCAGCAGACAGAACATGTCCAGATTTATCCTTTGACCCCAGACTTGGTGAGAAACACGAACCTTCGATATCTTTATTTTTTAAGAAAAGTGTCACCATGAGTCTGGCTTCATACTGAATGTAAATAGTTGATTCCAAACCACGGACTTACTTTTGGAAGCGTGATTGCATCGAAGTCCAGCGGGCGAACTTTAACCTTCTGGAAGAGGAAGTAGAACTCCGGGTTCCCTGGATCAGTCTGGCCTCCGAAGATCAGCGTGTCGCCGTCTGAGAGCTCCCACTGTATGCCCGGCTGGAGGCGGACTTCATTGACCCACGTGCCTAGAAACACAAGACCAAGAAGATTTGAAGAAATGTTAAACTACACACTGCCGGGCACAGATCAGCCCTCAAAATAAAACGTTTTAGAGGTTTCTAGGAGGTCACACTGACATGTAAAGTAGTGGGAAACTCTCCGAAGACACAAACGAGCAACAGTTTTACAACTGAAGGCCGACCTTACCGGAGGCTAGATATTCACAGAGCTTTTTAATATATGAATCTGACAGGGGCAAAAAAAAAAAAGAATAAATCATGAGAGCAGAGCCCTGAAATAAAGTCATTCGGTGACTGTGTGTTTACAGCTTCCAGAATCTAGGAGAAATGTAAAACAGTCTGCGAGATGGACCCAGAACTGAGGAGCTGGAAGGCTACAAGGCAATCACACGGCCATGACAGCACAGCACAAAATGAGAAATGCGGGGCGAATACTAAAATGTAACTTTAATAGCAAAAATGAAAAATGTGGGAAACAGACTGTGAAATTACTTGAAAAATTAGGCAGTAAGGGTGCAGTTTAGATTCTGAGCCTGTCGGACAGCGACTGAATGAAGACGCAACGCTCACTCTTAATCTCCCCCTTCCTCACTCCGTGCATCTTCCTGTCTACTTCAGACTGCACTGACGACTCTCAGCAACCTGCGGTTCAGACTCCATCTTGTGTCCTGAATTACTCATGAATTTTTTTGTTTGGTTCTTCTGTTTGTACATTTGCTTTTATTTGTTCTCCTGAAAGTTGAGTTTACTGGTCCATTTCACACTCTCAGCTGTGAACGACCCGTTGAGACCGAATGAAATGGACCTCCTCGGTGCGACTGCTTTTCAAAGCCGGCGTGTGGACGCGTAACATGTTAATTGTCTTCATTCACAGCAGAATGCACCTGGCGGCAGGTATTGTTAAGTTTCAAACCAAATGTCTTAAACTCCTGTTTTTGTGGTGCCACAATTTTGTATCCATCAGTCTGTCCTATTATTTCTGAGGCTGAAGCTGATGGCTCTTTTCTTTCCTGCAGGCTCTGAATGGGCTTTTTGGGGTCCTGCAGCAAACACAGTCGGCCCATTTTCAGTGAAAGATGATGCTTCTGCATTACGGCATCTGACAAATCTATGCATCTATCTGTTCGTGTCAGCTCCGACTGTTCGGATACGCAATAGTTAAAGCTTTTATTTTACCGGGCTAAAAGAATCAGCCAGGATTTTATAAACTTTTTTTTCTTTTTATTTGCATGACCAACAGCTGTAATCAAACCAAATGTGATTTGTAAGTAGAAAAAGATGTGGAACGGAGACATGTTTGGCATGTTTGCTTGTAAACTGACATCGCTGATTAATCCATTTATGAAACGCCTGACATTTAATTTATTTTCCGTCTGAAAACTGAACAATTAATCAAATATTTTCTGTCAGCTCTATTCTTAAGCGTAACATTTCTTTTATACGTTGAGCCTGCGGCCCGTTCAGCTGCACAGAGCAGCCGCGTGCATTCTCGCATTGACACCGGTCGGCATCATCTGATAACGCCGCCACAGATATTCATAGACTCCGACATTTTAATAACAAAGGTAATCTTTTGATCAGATATATCCTGTTAATAATATAGAATCACGTGTTGCGACCTCACTGGATGGTGTGAAGCAATGCATACACACATTCAGTGGCCACTTTATTAGGTACACCTCGTTAATACCAGTAATTGCCTTCTTTTTGGTTCAAATTCAACAAGGTGCTGAAACATTAATCAGACATATTGGTCAATGTTGACAGGACAGCTTCACACAGCTGCTGCGCATCACTGTGAATTTCCAGTTCCACCACATCCTGAAGGTGAGCTGGTGATTGTGGAGGCCATTCAAGTAAAGTGAACTCATTGTCATGTTCAAGAAACCAGTTTGAGCTTTGTGACACGGTGCATTACTCTGCTGGAAGCAGCCATCAAATGATGGGCACACTGCTGTCATAAAGGAATAATGTTCAGCAACAACACTGAGGTAAGCTGTAGTGTTTAATGAAGGCTCGGTGGGTACTAAGGAGCCCAAAGTGCACCGAGAAAATATCCTTTACACCGTCACATCTCCACCAGCAGCCTCAACGACTGATACGAGACAGGATAGAGTCGTCCTTTCCCTTTCTAGTCTCTTCAGTTATGCAGTTCTGAGGATACAGCCCATTGGATCTGTATCCTCAGTCTTGTTTATAGTGGCGTCCCACGTGGCGTGGTCTTCTGCTGCTGTGGCCCATCTGCTTTGATTTGTTATGCATTCAGAGATGCTCTTCTGCAGACACTGCTTGTAACAAACGGTTATTTAAGCTACCGTTTCCTTTGTATGAAGCAGTCTGGCGTCCTCTGATG